GTGGGGGTGGGGGTAGGGGGAGTGTAGGTGTGGAGGTGGGAGGGAAGGGATAGTAGGAGGAGGCAACAATGCCAGTAGGAAATGTACTCATTACCTTGTTCATGTAACTGTAACCCCTCTGTACAATATTTTCACAATAAAAAACTTATTAAAGAAAAGAAATTCATTAAGGTTCTTGAGAAGATAATATAGGCAGAAAAATCAGTCAACTTGAAAATTCATGTTGAAACAAGTTTATAATTGCATTTAAAGAAATCTCAATTGCTATTACTATGAAATTAAAATTCATTAATTAAGTACATTCTTTTTAACTAGACAGTCTCAGAATGGAATGTCTCTTTTTTCTTATTCCCTTCCAATTAGTACTATCACATGAATGAATCTATTTGAGTAAAAAAAATGTGGGTTTCCAAGAGCTGACAATTTGCTCAAGCAGGATTTTCAATGAATCTGTGTAACCATAGATTAACACTGATTCATTATTTCTCTGAATCCTGACAAGTGCTACATTTAATGCAGTACTTCAGTTACAAACATCCTTTGGGTGTTTCTGACCTCACCCTCCAGCTTTCATGGTGGGTGGACGATAGAGCAAGGCTAGCCAGCCTGTTGTACTGTTCTATCTGTGGTCCAACCACCCCAGCTCCTGAACTCTACTGGGAATCCCTGTTAGGATTAGAACTGCTGGAGGTTTGAACTGTGTACAGTACATGGGGGCAATGTAGGTAAGATTAGGTAACCTACGAGGCAGCAACAGGGTCTCACTGTGAGCAGAAGGTCTGGGACTGTATATGCAAAGTGTCATAATCACAATTCCAACCCTTCTGTTCCAACCTTTGTTAGAATGCCCCAGGAGGACCTCTGGAAGTAAAGCAGTCAATGCGATGAAAAAGGCCGCTGGTTGGTATAATGTGTGCCTGGGCTGAGTTCCTATGCATGGATCAAAATGACCCATTTGAATCTGGGCGCTGGTGGTTCACATATGTAATCCTAGCTACTGAGAAGGCTGAGATCTGAGGAACATGGTTCAAAGCCAACCCAGGCAGGAAAGTCTGTGAGACTCTTGTCTCCAATTAACCACCAAAAAGCCAGAACTGGAGGTGTAACTCAAGTGGTTCAGTGCCAGTCTTGAGTGAAAAAGCTAAGGAATGGTGTTCAGGCCCTGATTTCAAGCCCTAGTATCAGCACACACACACACACACACACACACACACACACACACACACACACACACACACACACACACACACACACACACACACACACACACACGCGTCCTGTCTCCCTACCACTTACCACTGTCTGCTCTCTGTCTCTTCTAACTGCCCATCTGGGGTGTTCAGCTTACTCCTGGGGCTCCCAGGCCTCCTGGGGCTCAGCCTCTAGAGCTCTCTTTCCTTTCTCAGGTCCTATGCAGACGCTTCAGGGCTCAGAGAACCCTAGTGCTTACCCAGCTGCCTGGAGGATGTCCCCTACCTACTCAGACACATGTTTTCCTTACCCACCTCCTCTGCTCCCTCCAGCACACTCTGGTGTGCTGCCTGATTCCCACCTGCTCCCTAGATAAGAACAGTGCCTGGCCTATAGCAGGCATATGGGTATTTATGGGGATGGAAGAATGGCCAGATGTGTGTGTGAGTGTGTGTGTGTGTGTATGTGTGTGTGTGTAGATATAGATATACCTATCTATATATAGCTATCTGTTATCTGTCTATCTGTCTGTCTGTCTGTCTACCAACCTACTTATCCATCCATATCCTGATGACTAAGTGAGAATTTTAGCATCAAACAATATACGGACTGCCAATATACGGATGCTGTGTTCATCTTGGAAATCTTGACTGAAACTGCCAATTTTCACTTCCTCTCAGTACTCAAATTCCCCCTTTCAGAAATAGAACTGTCCACAAAATTCTGTCAGTTTAAATGTTTCTTGTGAGAAGGCTACTCTTTCTCCAATCTTCCTTCCTGCTGTATGGACTACTATAAAGGCTTATGCTTGAGTAGCCCTTTTGTAACATGAGGTTAAAGACTAAGGATGACAGACTGGCTAGAAAGGAACTGGGTCCCTCGTTTGCCACTGAACTGGCATTAGGTTATTGATGTCTTTCAAGCCATTGACATTTGAACTTTCAAATTACATATGACTCAAGGAATTACAGTGGATATGTGGTGGTTTCTACAACCAATCTGCATCTGACATACAATCTGATTCTTAAAGCCATAACATACATTAGTAGGGTTCATTTCCCTTACCAAGTTACTGGGGTTTGAACTCAAAGGGTCTCTTGCTTGGCTTTTGCTCTACCACTTGAGCCAGTCTGGCATTTTGTTGGTTACTTGGGGATAGAGTCTCTTGGATTTTCTGTCTATGCTGATTTCAAGCCTCAATCTTCTGAATCTCTGCCTCCTTAGGAGGTAGGATTATAGACATAAGACCTAGCAAAACTTTAGAATAAAGATTTTCTTTTTCTTGTTTGTTTGGTACTCCAAATGGCTAGATACAGCATTTCCATGTATGTACTGAGTTTAGACTCGGGAAGTCACAGGAGACCAAACAGTTACTGTGGCTCCTTGGGGAAGGACAGCAGCATCCCCCTGACCCAGTCGCACCCACTCAGCTGTTGGTCTCCTGGAGTTCCACATTCCAAGCCTGCCATTGGGATCTGCCTCTTACTTCTATGTACTTTGAGTTTGCTTAAGCCTTTCATGCTTTTTCATATGAACACTCAGTAATAAACAATAATAGAAGTTCACCTAATATTTACTGAGTGCCTCATGTATGCCTGTGAAGATCAGGGGATACAGCAGTGTGACACAATTGTGTCTTTCTGGAATCTTCATCCCAGTGGACAGTTCAGAAATGAACATTAAATTATTAAACTATAAATATATTACATGGTGATGGTACAATGAGAAAATAAAGCCAGGATTCAGGACACATTATGGGATATCAGGAGGCCAAATATTAAGGAAAAGCAGACTTAAGGGAGGCTTTCTGAGAGGATGACAGCTGAGGAGAGACTGAAGGAGTGAGCCACATGTACACATAGAAGAATAACACTTAGCCCACAGGGTGCAGCCAGTGCAAAGGTCCTGAGTCCTGTAGGTGCTTGACACAGAAGCACCTTGAGTGAGGAAAGGAGACAATCACAGGACATGGGGTTGGAGAGGGAGAGAAGTAGATGCTGGAGAAACAGGGCAGCCCAAACGTCTTACATTTTAATTTACTCTGCCGTTACCATGTTGAGAAAGAACTGAGCAATACCCAGGGGGGAGCTGGAAGTCCAGTTAAGCAGTTACTCAAGTAATCTAGCTTTAAACTTTGTTGGGAGTAGGAGAAGGTGGTAGGAAGTAGTTGGATATTCAACTTTTTCTGAAGAGAAGGCCATTGGGATATGTTCTGGGAAGATGGTGAGATATGAAAGGAAGTTCACAGGAGGCACATGTTCTGATGGAGGAAGGGGCATTCACTTTTACAGCATGATTAAGACAGCTCTGGTTGTGTTTAGGGTACAAAGACATATAACGTCAGGAGATCATGAAAACGACTAAGAATAGGTCTGAGGACCAAGTCCTGAGCAAACCAGTGTCTAAAGATCCAGGGAGATGCACTTCTACCCAGAGACTGGGAAAGACCAGCAGGACAGAAGAGAAGGAAAACCAAGGGAGTGAGAACCCCACGCAGTGCAGGGAGTGCGGGGGTGTTCACATAGAGGGAATGATGGAGTCTGTACTCAGCTGCTGGTATTCATCTTCCTGCTGGGAGTTTTTCTTTAGCATTGGTTAATATCCATTATAGCCAAGTCATGAGCAGATTGGGAGAGCAGTAAGGAAAGGCAACAGTCAGCTGTTCAAGTCTGGTGACAATGTGAATCCCAGACAACTCTAAAACAAAACAAACCATCCGGGTGCTGCTACCTCACACCTGCAAACCTAGCTACTTGAGAGGCTGAGATAAGAAGATCACAGTCCGAAGCCAGTCCAAGCAGGAAAGTGTGTGAGATTCTTATTTCCAATTAATCACCAAAAGGCAGGAAGTGGAGTTGTGCAAGCCTTAGAGAAAAAAGCTCAGGGATAGCACCCAGTTAGCACTCTGAGTTCAAACCCCAGAACCAGCACCAAAAATCAAAACAAAAAAAATAATAACGCAAGAGTCTCCAATAGTGTGGCGAAAACTGCAGAACTAACAAGTTATTTGTGACAAAGTTTAAAGAAAAAAAACAAAAAACAAAACAGGGCTGAGAATGTAGATTAGTGGTAGAATGCTTGCCTAGGATGTATGAAGCCGTGGGTTCAATTCCTCAGTACCACATACACAAGAAAAGCCAGAAGTAGTGCTGTGGCTCAAGTGATAGAGTGCTAACCTTGAGCAAAAGAAGCTCAGGGACAGTACTAGGCCCTGAGTTCAAGTCCCACAACTGGCAAAAAACAAACAAAAAAAAAAACTAACAATCCACAGTTAGGATGCAAGAACAGTAAACAGTCGGGTGAGGATTGCTGTTCTAATCTTTAAAACTGTATCCTTGTATTCTCTTGATGAAAAATAAAAACTAGCCAGTAAAAATAAAAATGTATGAGCTGGATGTCTCCTTGATCTGTGAGCTCTGAAATTACCACCAGAAACAAATAATTTCTTGTGTTCACCAAGTACTTCCTCACTTATAAAGTTAAACATCGTGCAGTCCCCATTCTGTTCCCACTGTCGTAAGGCATTCTTGAAATTAAAATGTTTAATCATTAAATGTTTCATCATTAAACGTTATGTCCTTCTGTATAATTTTTCAATGTTAAATATAGTTTCTCTATGTATCCAACAACCGAACTAAGATTAAAAGCCAGGCAATCTCTTTTGAGCTCGATTTCTTAATGTCTATGTAGACTATTAATAAGTCTCTGAAATAAATCCCTTGGCAATTTCTTTAAGCCGATAGAAAATAAAATTATCATGACATTTTTTAATGGTATGATGTCTTCGAGTAGCTATTTGACAATCTCACCTTTTTCTTTTTGTTCTGGATCATCTGTCTTTCTACTTGTCTCTGAAAAATCAAAGATAAAACAAAGTAAGTACTATGCAAGTCATCATTCAATACCTCAAAAAATATTACTATTTAAATGAATTTTAGGAAATATAATTTATTAAGAAAAATGTTACCAAGCATACACATAATTCAGCTTTCCTTAATCCTGATTTTTTTGGGGGGGGTCCGGTCATGGGGTCTGAACTCTGGGCCTGGGCGCTGTCCCTCAGCTCTTCAGCTCAAAGCCAGCACTCTACCACTTGAGCCACAGTGCCACTTCTGGCTTTTTTCTTATGTGGTGCTGAGGAATCAAACCCAGGGCCTCAGGCATGGAAGGCAAGCGCTCTACCACTGAGCCACCTTCCCAGCCCCTTAATCCTGATTTTTTTAACATAGTAAATTCACTATAAAATATCAAGAATTGGGGCCATGCAAATTACTTATAAAAATCACTGCACAGCCAGGTACCTGTGTCTCACAGCTATAATCCTAGCTACTCAGGAGACTGAGATCTGAGAATCATGGTTCAAAATCAGCCCAGGTAAGGAAGTCCATGAGACTCTTTTCTCCAGTGAACCAACAAAGATCCAGAAATGGAGTTGTGGCAAAAGTGGTAGAGTGCTAGCCTTAAGCAAAATGTTCAGGGACAGTACTCAGGTCCTGAGTTCAAGCCCTGAGAGAGACACACACACACACACACAAATGACTGAATAGGAAGAAGTTATCTAGCCTCAGGCTAGTGTTTCTCTGTATAGGAGTGGTGAGGTAGGTGATGTTCACCAACATCCAGTAGGGGATAAAGTTAGGTTGAAGAAAAACCATCATTAAAGCTTATTCAGTATTTTTATCATCTCCTAAAACTGCAATTCAGGATGCAACCAAGAGTACACTTATGTCTTACAGTACGTTTACTACAGTCAGTGTTTCCCCACAGTTGGGGCAAGGAGTTGGGACGAATCCAACAACTTCCATCTCCCTTCTTTGGAAAACCACAAAAAATGAAAGGACCACACATTTGTAACCTCAGGCTTATTACTGTTTAAAGAAGAAAAGATCTAGTTAATTCTGAAGGCTAGACTAGTTGAGTATAGTTTCAGTAAGCCCTTATTTTGCCTTTGATGTTTCTAGGATCAGCTGTGTGTATTTGTATCAGTTTGTGTGGGAATGAGGCAATTTGGGAGACTGATTTTAAAAATATCTTGCAGCCGGGCGCCGGTGGCTCACGCCTGTAATACTAGCTATTCAGGACGCTGAGATCCTCAGATCGTGGTTCAAAACCAGCCCGGGCAGGAAAGTTCATGAGACTCCAATAAACCACCAGAAAACCGGAAGTGGCACTATGGCTCAAGTGGTAGAGTGCTAACCTTGAGTTCAAGAGTGCAGGGACAGTGCCCAAGTCCAGAGTTCAAGCCCCACGACCGACCAAAAATAAATAAATAAAATAAATATCTTGCTCAGTGCTGGTAGCTCATGCCTGTAATCCTAGCTACTCAGGAGGCCGGATCTGAAGATTTACAGTTTGAAGCCAGCTTAGGCAGGAAAGTCCATGAGACTCTTACCTCTAATTGATCGGCAAAAATACCAGTAGAGCTCTGTTCAAGTGGTAGAGTTTTAGCCTTGAGCAAAATGATTAGGAATGGCAGCTAGGCCCTTAGTTCAACTCCCAGGACCAGTAAACACACACACAATCTTAGACTCTGTTTTCTTCCTACAGTAGACAGATGGTTGTGGGTATAATCAGAGATGCAATCAAGAGTATGTGATACAGATCATTTGATTTATCTGCTCCAAGCTTAATATTCATTCTCATAAGACATTTCAATATGGGAATGTGAAAAACAAATCTAAAGTAGGCCTTGGTACAAGAAGGGGCTTTTTATAGGTCAAGTGTTTTTGCTCCTCTGAGACAAGAGAGAGGGAACTAACACTAAATCAAGGGTGCCAGGCTTGGTGCCAAGCACATGACTGTTCATAACTTTTGCTTTCTGCCATACTACAGGAAAGATCCTTGTATCCAGGGAGAAAGTTGAAGCTGAGAAATTAGTTTCCAAAACTACCAGAACCAGCCATTTATATGGTTCTAAAGCAATATGCCTTTCCAACTGTACTACTCTGCACTCCTGTGAAGGAGAAAACAACAATAAAAAGCCCAACTCTCCATTTTGCAAAGAATAGTTTTATAAAGTTGACTGACAGTATATACCTAAATGCAAATGTGGGGGTGACTATAGATTTCTGTCAATGTTCTAGAACTTCTGATCTTATTAGCTAAAATTTCTGTGGTAGCTACAGACCATACAATATCATTCACTCAGTACATATTGAGTACCGAATGTTCTGCTGACACTCACATATGCATCAGGAATATAGCAAGAAATAAAAAGCATCAAAAATGTTAAGTCATGAAGAAGCTCTTTCTCATGGGACTAGAAGTCTCTGCAGGAAGCCGGCAATCCTCTATATTCTCCATCACACTGGGCTAATGTGAGTCATATACACAGCGTCACATCTAACATGATTACACAGACGAAGAATGTGTTGGTCATGAAGGTGAGTTCAGAGACCACCCAATCCCTGAGGAAAACAAGGAAGGTGGAATGGTTTACTCTGGTTATATCCTCAATAGAAGTGCAAGGTGCACATCCAGGGAAGGTCCTGGTCAGGTGTCCTCATGCCCCTTGGACCACACTCACCCGAGGGTGAGTATCATTGGAGATGCTCCAGGAATTAGTGCCCCATCTGTCTCCCTCCATCCATGAGGTATGTAGGGCAAGGTGACAGCCAGACTTGAGCATACTCGGCTTAGCCTATTCCAGGCTTTCAGGCATAAATTCTCTCTTGGATCATTTTTTTATAGATGTCTCTCATCTCACACCAACAAATTCTGAGACTTGTGTTTGGATATGGAGAATATATATAGTAGATATTTTTGGCTATACCGATAGGTATCTTTGGTTTTTAGCTACCACCTTAGTGTAGGTAAAAGAATTTCCTATGGGATTCAGCTTATGTCACTAGCATCCAACACAGCTAGTAATAAAGAAAATTATCCTTCTAACATATGCTTTCTGGTGAGCTATATGAGACTCTCTACCGCATAAGAACATAACTTATTGAGTACTTGTTGTATGACAATTCGATTCTGTGACATGGGTTACCCCATTTCACCTTCTGATCTGTCATGGAAAGCAGTTACTATGTTACAGATATGGAAACTGATGCATAAAGAACAAAGTGAGAAAAGAAGAAATGATCAGAGGCCATAGCCTGTAACAATACTAATCACAATATATATCCCACTAATGGACAGACCAGCAGGAAGTAAAGGTAGCTACTTGCCCAGCCTCTAAAAGTTACAGAAGGACAATCACACTTGTAATTCTTATTGTGCTTACTCACAAAAAAGAAAAGGATGTTGCATATTTTTATCTGCACTTTTACACTTTCCTTTTTTCTTTTCATATTATCAGCAGGAGGCAAATCTTATTTTTAAAAATTAGACCATGATCTTTAAAAACTGTCATGCTGCCCCTGAAAAGCATTCTTTTTGTGGGTTGATATATATCAAATCCTACTAATTTCCAGCTGCTGCCGTGCCTACTGAGCAGTTCTGCTGGACCCAGCAACAGCAGAAAGTTAATTTGCATCCAGGTCTAATTGTCCTTCTGAGACTCTCATCAAAAGCATTTATTCATCCCAAGACCCAGGCCTGGGGCCCTGTTTACTCCCTGCACACACGCAATGCCCTTTCTTTAGGTCATCCCTTCCCTACCCCCTCTCTATCTCTCTACAAATATTCCCAGAACTCACACCTAAACATGGCATCATTACCTATTACTCGCTAGTTTCCTATGTGGCCTCCTGCCTACTCTGTGGCACCCTACCACTTTCCACCTGTGACCTGAGAGTTCACCAAGCATATTGATATACAACCACAGCCTTCAGGCATTTCCCCCTCTGCAGCAGGAGTAACATTCAGCTGGAGAGAATTCTCAACTTCCCTAAGGCATGTGAAAACATTCAAACTTAGTCACTCTGGAAAGCAGTATGGAGGTTCCTAAAAAGACTAAACATAGAGCTTCCCTATGACCCAGCAATCCCACTCCTTGGCATTTACCTGAATGATCATAAACAAGGCCACACTAAAGCTACCAACACAACCATTTCATTGCAGCACTATTTACCATAGCTAAGATATGGAACGAACCCAGATGTCCCTTAGTAGATGAATGGATCAAGAAGATGTGGTATATATACACAATGGAGTTCTATGCTTCAATCAGAAAGAATGACATTGTCCCATTTGTAAGGAAATGGAAAGACCTGGAACAACTGTATTAAGCGAAACAAGCCAGACCTAAAGAAATGTAGGTTTCATGGATTCCCTCATTTATAATAATTAGAATGTATCTATGATATTCTTAACAGGGGATCACAATAGCCCTATTGCTAAGTACATAGGATCATATATAATATTAAATAAACTCCAAGAATTGGAAACAAGAGGTTCTTATTATGTCCTATATCCTGTTATTTCCATTTTTTCTTTCTGTTTTAGTTTTCTGTACCCTTTGTCTTATATACAAGCTTATCTGATCCATAGAAGGGAAAAGGAATCACAGAAAGAGCAGGACAACAAAGATACTCACTAGACACTATGTTGGAAATGAACTTTACAACTTGGCGGGGAAGGAAGTAGAGAGTGGAAAGCAGAAGAAAATAAAGGAGGGGTATAAGAAATGTCCTCATTTCCTTACTGCCTTTTTTTCTTTTGGTTGGTCGTGGCGCTTGAACTGTGGGCTTGGGTGTTGTGTCTCAGCTCTTCCGCTGAAGGCGAGCAATCTACCACTTGAGCCACAGTGCCTCTCTCATTACCTTACTTATGTAACTATAACCTCCTGTTCATCACCTTTACAATAATTTTTAATAAATAAATAATAATAAATAATAAATAAAGTCTTAGTTTAGTTTGTAAAAAAAAGAGTTCCCTTGACTGAGTCTGTTTTGATTGTTTTTTT